ATATATTACTTTAAGGCTCTATATTTACGAAATTTAGATGAGTTTTCGAATAAGACGAGAAGAAATCCCCTAGTTATCGGTATGCTCTTCATATGAGGTAAGTTTATTTATGTAATATACAGAGACACAATGCTAATTGTTTCTTGTTACCGATATTGTTTCATTGTATTTTATATCAAGTAAACTCATCTGATATGAAACTATATTCTACCATAGTGACCAAATTTTATTTTTCTATTCATAATGGATTTATCCAAATGATTTGATTTTTAAGTGAATACCACCCTTAAATAAGTTAAGTACCTAAAGTAAATAACTTTAATGTGGGATTCTACTACACTAATTATATTAACCTGAAGAATGTGATCCACATAAACATCACTGAGTAAGACTGCAAATCATACACACCACTTGTTTGCTGTTAATAAAGTGAGTTATTCAATACTTCTGGAGTCAAGGTATGCAGTACTGATCATTCTTCATAGCTTATAAATTAAAACGACAAAGTTAGAGAACCACTGGAAAACCTGAGAGTACTGGACAGCTGTTTCGTCCTAGTTTGGGACTCTTTAGTAGTACGCAGTAACTCATCGAAGAAGACATTGCGAAGTGGTAGCGCTATGTCGTGAACTGGCAGAAGTTAGAATTCAGGGACCATTGAATCGGGTCCCTACAAAACCAATATTTAAAATGACCAAGTCTAAATTCCTCTATCGCCAGTCAATATTAACAATAAACACGGAAATACTGAAGGTCAGTTTGTTTCGCATATTTGTGATCATGTTTTAATTATGAAGGGAGAGAGTGATTATATATATATATATATCCTTGATTTCTACTTGTATAACTCTAAAATTCCTTCTAAAAATGATTGTTACGTTGTTGGGATATATAATGAATGGAATAGAGTAAATAGACAATATAATGAACATAGAATACCGTGGACATCTTTAGAAAATAAAGCCAACAAAATAAAGAAACAAAAGTCTGAAAAGGAAATGGGAGAAATAATTTTGTTGCATGTTTCTCAATTTTTAGTCGTGGCAACAGTGTTCTCCATTTTTTATTACTCCTCGTTTTATCCTTCCCCTCCTATCTTTATCTTTTATTTTCCTCAAATTTTAAAATCTGTCTTTGTCTTTCTCTCTGGCGCATTTAGTTCATCAAAGCATATAGAATGACATGATTTGAATTTTCCATTTCTTTCCTTTGCTTCTTATCCTACGTATGTCCTATTTTGCTATTTGTGTATGCCTTCTATCTGTGAACACCTACTTTATATGAGTGCATACAACAAACAGTCTTTCGAATCTGTCAAATTTTTAAAGAAAATTCGATTAAATCCCGTGACACATTGTTCATATGTTGGTTTGAGTTTTTGTATGTGTACAAAACCTCAGTTACTGGGCTAATTAAATAAGTCAGTTGCTGTGGTATATCACCATCATCATCGTCACCATCTTAGACGTCAGTATCAACATCATTTATATTAGTTTATTCTGATACTCACGTGATAAATGACCAATTCTTCTCGTATTACTCTGTAGATATATACCATTCCATATATACATGGATCAGTGTGTGTGTGTAGGCGTAGAAACATAAATATGAAGATACTAGATATACATTATCTGTCTTGTTTTGTTGTATTCGTTAAAAGATTTTATGCATCACTGTATCACTGCCCACCCCCATAAATCAACCTATTCCACCTCACTGTATTTTCTTTTACTTCAAAAATGAAATCTAACAAATAACGAGAAATGAAAGACTCGATTAATTTTTTTCCTTTATTATAACTGACTGAGATTAATTGACTTTACTGTCAGAAAGGATTGACTTACTGACCAACAACCCATCTAGTACTATTGATTAGTAGATTTAATTTTCTATGAATAATCCCAGGATTTTTCGATTATATATCATTATATATATAATGATATTAGTCAGGATGGACATAGTTAGGTAAATTGTTTCAATGTCTCAACAGGCTAATTGATCAAGAGTCCAACTATTACTATTAAAACAAAAGACTAACAACAATACTCTGTTTTCTTTACTTACACTCCGAGTATGTGCGTCGGTGGCACAGTGGTAGGATGCTCGCCAACCACTCAGGTGGTTCGAGGTTCGATCCCCGGCTGGCGCACTCCTCGCTAAGCCAGTAATAAGACAGGTAAAGAGGGGACGTTGCTCATGAAACTAGCAACCCCATCCCGTAAAAATAAATACCACTGCTACCGAAACTTCAAGCGCATAGTTTGAAGCCCTATGTCCCAATCGGAACGTAAAGATATATTTAAAAAAGTAAATAAAGCAATGTATTGGTTGGTATTCGATAATTTACGTCGGTGGTATAGTGGTTAGGACTCTCGCCGACCATGCACATGGTCCGAGGTTCGATTCCCTGCCAACGCACACCTGATATCTATGGTTGGCCTGCAAAATTTGGGCAACCGATATCCATGCTGAAAAACCCATACTAAAAATGCAGTGTGGAATCAAGCTGTAATCAAAAATAAATAAAAAAATTTTGGTTACATATTAAAGTAAAGCAGTTCATGTATCTGTGATAATAACCTCTGAAATCGACTTCATATATAGGGAGTAAATTTCAATTTAATTTTTCAAAAAGTAGTAGCAATAGTATAAGGTACGCAAGAAAGCCAATAGAGCGGTATCTACATACAAACAATACTGTGTGGTTTCGACGGTCAAATGTTATGTAAATATTGCAGATTTTTCCACTTTATTTTGCATGCTGATTCCGGAATTAATCAGGTGTTTTGTTGATATTTTAGAAACAGATTAGTAGATGAAATTAGTTACTGTTTGACATTGACACTTGAATTTTATAAACGGCTTAAGAGAGTTATCGTCTTTAAATTCGGAAATGGAGTATTTTCCTATGCATTCTGCAATTACTTCCCTACAGACTAACACTATTTGAACGGATAGTAACATTCAAATGAAGATTAAAGCAGATACTGTGTAGTTGGAGGCTGAATATTTCAACCCTTGGACCGTCATATTTGAACAAAAAAGCTAAAACATCTGAGCCTTCTAAAGTCTTCTCAATGAAAACATTCTTTCTTATTGTCCTGCTATATGAAAACGAGTTATATTATCTGGTTGCCTCTATCCTGAGATTTATGGGAGAGTCTGAACCTATTTGCTGGCTGAAAGTCAAGCGTCTAGACCAGTACATCGTCACTTGTGTACCAGAACAAATCCAGGAAGTCATAAATTCTCTTTAGAAATTGCAATAAATAAACCATGAAAGAAAGTGAATAATTTCAAAAGAATGTCAGCAAGATATCCTGTAAATTTCATTTCTCAACGATTGTCTGGTGAATGTTGATTCTTCAAGAGAAAAAACTTCAGTTATTCAAAAACTTCTGTATTGTGGATTAAATCCCGTAAACAAAAGATCAGCACTCATCGCTAGATTCACTGTAATCACAGTCTACGAAACTCATTTTAAAAGTAGTTCAGTTCTTGTCCTTATTCCCATCGGAATATGACACTTATACAATATGTTAATCAAAACATCTTTCTGTATAAATATAAACAATGAAGTTACAGGTTTACTTGAAGTCTGCTGACAAGATATGTGCACTCAAGTAATCCTTAAATCTATGCTTTATTCCATTCACTTCTGTTGATTACATTATGTTTGGTTAAAATAGGCCTGTTGAGAATTGAACATTGGTTATATCTGTCAACTGTCATGTCATACAAATACGCCTACATATGAACACAAACACGTTGTCAGTTATCAATGAATAATTTTTTTGTTGTCTCTTAATCTTCATTCCTTTTGTTATTATTATTAATAACTATTATTTCCTCAAGAAGTGTTTATGCTGTTTAAAAAGAAATTTTTATGACATTTTGGCTAATCCTTAAAAGCAGAATTTCTGTCTGAACGATATTTCTGTGCCGTTGACAATTAGAATAAACAATAAACTAACTTGTATTATTCGAGTTACACTTTTAGATATTTAAAAGACTTCTATATACATATGTTGTAACTAATCATAGGCAAATGAAATTGTTCTAATATATATATATAATGAGGTGTCTGTGACAGACGTTTAGTTGTTAAGCGAGGAATATGAATTATAAGGGAGTGATCAACTGGATTGATTTCTCTTAATATTCACGTGATCTCTTATTCATTAAACATTTGAGACGACTTTGAAACCTTAAGCGACCAACAGTAATTGATGCTGGATAGAATTTCCAAGGAAAACTGAACTTCTTTAAGGTTACAAATACGATTTACTGTACAGAACTAAGTGGAACAGTATTTTAGTCTAGCAGGACTCCTTGATCATTCACTGTTAATGCCTAGTGCTAATAGAATTGGTAAATCTAGTGTAATTATATCATTGGAGAGAAGTAGAGAGCTATTTCTCTTAGAATATACACTGTATTGGATGAACAAATTACTCCCTACATTTGCAGTGAAAAGTTAGTTTTTAGCTTCGATATAAAGTTTACTATTTACATGAGCAATAAAAATAAAACCGGTGACTTCTGTTCTTGAAAGTTTATATTCTTGGTGCTGTTTTAGTAGTCTGCAAAACAAGACTTCTACAACCCAAAGAAATGCCATATATGCGTTTTACGACTTTTATATTTTATTTCTCTTTCATAACTGTCTAAAATAATCTTATACTGGTGGTCACTATTATTAATCTAATTTTTTTCTCACGTGTCGCTTTTAATGTGGCAGAAAAGGGAAGAAGTGAGAAAGATTTCCCCTGATGACACTGAAAGATAATTTTTGTTGTTGTTAATTTAGACTTAAATGTATTCAGGTGAAATAATCACTGGGGCTTATGTACAAAAAAGGTTGCAAATACACTTTAGAAAGCCTAACATTTAATTCTGAAGCTTAACTATTATTTACGGGAAAATTGTGTTCAAGTTATAATTCCTTCTGCATGATTAGTAATTTGAGAAAAAAATATATGTTGTTGTCAGTAACTTACCATTTGCGTGTTAGGTGAATTTGAATCCATAGAAGATGTAGACGATGACGACATTGATCCATTTGGAACTGTATTCAGTTTTGAAGACTCCACATTAATAGTGCTGTTATTTACAGTTGATATTTGACTATGTTCGTATTCATTAGACAGAATAGTTTTGAAATTTTCTACAGTGGACACATAGGATTGACAAGCATTGCTAGTGTTATTAATACTGCAGCTTGAGTGGTTAGGCGATCTAATCAAACCCATTGATTCAGAAGTGAATAAACAGGCTTCTTGTGTATAAGGCAGAGAAATTGTACATGGGGGAGCTGGAAGGGAACCAGATGAATGGTGGGAATTGGGTGAAAACAGTATGGATCCACTATACATGGAATTATTGCTATGACTGTATAAAGTGGATGGATTTTGTAGTCCACTTAAAGAATCAACTGCATCATTAAATAAATTTGGTGTAGATGAACGATTTAAAAATGGACTTGCCGCTGAACCTGTTGAACCAGCACCTGATTCTCTATCTTCACACACTAAATCCAGTGGCATTTTGCCTTTTAAACATGTGATATAGCGTGCACAAAAGCTGTCGCACAACTCATGTACCTACAAGAATAAAAATCAAAAAGAAAAAGGAACCGATATAGCTGAGCGGCGAGATTTAACTAGTAAAAATCTTCTTTAGCCATTCGGTTGAATCGTATTCCAGTTTCAGTTCTTCGCACAATTTTATTCATTGGTCAAACATATTATCTCGGATAGTCCTCTTAACAAAACCATTATCAAAACGTTTTCAATTGGTATTCTTCACCATGGGAAATGTATTTTTATTAGATTGTATAGATGCATTAAATCACATAAACCCTATAAAAACACAGTTAATGAAAGAAAAACACAAGGTTTTTCTCTAATAAACGGTTAATTATTATAAAATCATGTTATGGACAACAGATTACAAATTTCTTTTCGGAAACTGTCTTAAGCAGTAGTAATTTGTACAAATAAAATTCATACCTTAGCGGAATCTACAAATGATGAGGCCAGATAAGAGAAAAAGTGGTTAGCTCCATGCCTGAAGAGCGTTGACAGTACATGTTTTCCTCATTATATATATATATATATATATATATATATATCGAAATTGCCTACATTTCTTTCTTCCAATTTTTTTCAGATTCATAAAGGCAAGAAACAGTTTAGAATAATTACATTCACTTAACCTAGAGGAGTTATACTCTCTGGATTGAGTGAAGTTGTGTAAAAAGCTAACGAGTCCATACCTTAAGCGATGGATAAGAGTTTTTACCACTTCGCTCTGTCTCGCGAATTATGTTTATCGAAATATGAAGTTTCTACGCACTCACTTTGTTTATCAGATAGACTTGTTAGAAAATGACTAGAATTATATGAATAAGTTTCAGGATTTCTTCATGAGCTGACATTTGTTAGAGAACCATTGGAAAACCTGGGAGTACTGGACAGCTGTTTCGTCCTAGTTTGGGACTCTTCATCAGTACGCACCCACCGGGATTCGAACCCAGGACCTTCCGGTTACAAGGCGAGCTCGTATACCATTAAGCCACTGGGACCCGATTCAATGGCTCGTGAATTCTAACTTCTGCCAATTCACGACATAGCGCGACCGCTAGCCAATATCTTCGGCGAGTATTTGTCCTCACACCCGACCAGCTGCACCCTACTGGTCACGACTTCCCAAACTAGGACGAAACAGCCATCCAGTACTCCCAGGTTTTCCAATGGTTCTCTAACTAATGTCAGCTCATGATGAAATCCTGAAACCGATCAAATCCCTACAAACCAACACTTGAGTATATGAATAAGTCATTAGGGTGTGAACAGTTTTATATGCCCATTCCTTGGTATCAGTGCTGACTAAATTCCATGTATGTGATCACCAAGCTAGATTGGAGGTAATCAGTGGGAAGAACTGGACCTTGATTTCGAACCTCTTGGTGCTCTTCAGCAAAGTGTATCCACAGCCACGAAGGAAGTGATTTCCTGTCTAAGATTTTGACTTGCAGGAAGTCAGTCATAAACCCAAGTATCTGAGTGGTAGCTTCTATGACTACACCTCTGGGTGACGTGGGTTCGACTGTCAAAGAGGATACTAATCCCTTTGGGGCTGCACATGTGTCGTATTGGCGGGTGGTAACAAGCAGGAAACCTAGGTCCACAGCTTGTTGACGACTGCATCCAACCGTCTAAGTAGAAAAGTATGCAGGATTGTTACTTATTATTCACTCTTATCAACTGAATATGCTTTAAAATTTAGACACTGGTAAAGAGTATCATTATACATTTGAACATTTTCAAGTTTTATAAACTTATAGTTGTACAAACTATGATGTATGCGGGAATATAGTAGTTAGATGAGTACGGTTAAATATATAAGTAGTAGCATTCAGGAGTGCATTTGAAATAAAGTATGCATCAATAGCGAAATAGACGCATTTTTACTAATTTTGTTTTTCCCCACTGTTTTTTTTCCTTCTCCCATAACCTCAGCATTTTGTCAGATGGTTAATTTCAACACATTTTCTTGTAAAAGGTTGTCATGCTGTTTTCTTGTTTTTTTTTTTCTGTTTCACAATTTAAAGTTTTTCTTTTCGAAGTAACATTTATCACATATCCTTTCATTTATCTATCTATCTATCTATCCATCCATACATTCATTCATTCATTTATTCACTCTTTAGTGTTCATTCACCCACAATTTGTACATTTGTGCATATTAAGCATTTTCTTTACTTCCTTTTCTTGTTATTGATGTTTTGTCTTTTTTATTTTAAGAAAAACCTTTTCCTTCTTCTCCATTTCAAAAAAAAGAAACATGGTTGCTACCCTTGGTTTCACTGCATTACTCTGCATTAACATTGCAACATGCATATAATTTACTCGACTGCATGTATATATATATATATATATATGCATGTGTATGACATTTGTGTACGAACTTTGTGTATTTAAAAACATCAAATGTCGACAGTTTTGACAGCTTGCTTATTTCAACTTACTTGCATACACATCATCTTTACTATTCAACTCTTTCCACCCTCCTCACTTCATAAAAATTAGAAATACATTCCATTCTAGACTAATATTAGCTTATTTTCAAAGGTTAAATAAGTAATACAAGTAAAAATCACTAGAAGAAAACTAAACGCGCATATTGCAAATTTTTATTTAGATAAGTATGATGCATGTATTTTTGTTCGCTAAATATCACAGTTATTATTCCTATAATAATAATAATCATTTTTGCCGTTAATGATAATAATAATAATAATAGTACAATTGTGTAGATGATATCAGTAGTACTGATGGTATTTGTTTATTGGTTAGAAATGATGAACATGATTTTCATGGTGAAGTTGCTGTTTAGTTTCAACTTTACCTACCAAATAAAATCTAATCAACAAAATACTAGCCTTTCTGTTGCTAAACTTTCAAAAAAAAGCACACAAAAGAAACGCTTTAGTTCTGTTATTCTTCCAACAACAACAACCAAGCCTTGTGGACTATTGTGTTGTTTAGCTTGTTGTTTGCATATTTCTCCTCTTTACTAAAGCATATAAAACACACAGAACTATCATTTTATGTTGTCTTTATTTTCCCTATCTCTATTGTTATTCATTTTACTGAAAGGCTGTCAAACTGTCATATTGTGTATATATTTTACTAAGAGAATGAATAAGTCTAATGGTTTGAACTAAAAACACACATACATAGCACAACGGGATACTATGTCGCCGTGTATTTTTGGCGTGTTAAAATATTAGAGAAGAGCATTCATCCTCTCTTATCTATGCAGATATTCACCAATGCCAGTTCAGGGTTTTAGCGACATCATGTGTAAAAGATGCAAACAACTGTTATTGGGAAAATAAAAATTCAACTCAAAAACAAATATTTGAGTAATAAGAATCATCATTGTTTTGAATATCCTTCCTTGTATACCACCTAGTTCTCGACAAACTGTACATATATGTGCATGCATTACATGAAATCAAACTACTTTGTATTACAGAATAATGTTTATTGAACAAAACTCAGGAAGTAATTTGTCATCATTATTTAAAATTGTAGAAAATACTTATCTGTGTAATTTCTAAATAAAGCAAAAAAAGAGAAGAAAAAGGGGAATTTTTCCTTTCCAAAGAAGGTGGTGCATTTATACATATGTTTATACATGAGCTGTTTTCGAGGGAGGGAGCTTAAATGTAGACAAACCCTATACACGAAAATAAGCTTTCCTGAATGTTTTAGGAAATTTGCAAGTTGATTTACATTAAGTTACTTGAAATTCAAAGAATAAGAAAAACCGTCTGCCACTTTGAATGCTGTTCACACATATGAATGGGATAACTGGCATACTTCTGCATAAAGTGTATAGGATTCTCGAGATAACTTCCCCTTGTGAACGACACGTTTTTGTGTATTACAAGCTGATCAAGATGAGAGAGAAAATTATTCAATAAAACTTGGAGGTTAAACGAGATTTTTCCGTTTTCTCCTGTTTCAACGTAATTGGCTAAAGAAGTGATTAATCAGGTCTCTCTGGTACTCTTTGATATTTATTATTCTATTCTGTCCTCAATGATTGTTAAATTGGTAAGTTTTGTGGGTTAGTTACCTTTCAGTGTTTATTTTAAGCTGGTCAACTCATAAATTAATAAGAGGCTGGTTTTTATATGAAACGTCGTATTTCGTTAAGAGCCCACATAAAGATAATGTTCAATTACACATGTTTTGTTCAAACAAGTCTCTTGTCATTTCTCGCCCATATTTCTATATTTGACAGAACATTAGGTCTCTTTTTAGTGTCTTAATAGACTATGTCTCTAAACTGGTGAGGGAATTGTAAAATCCTACGAGTACAAGAATGGGAAGACACAACGTGAAATCTACATTCACTTTATAAAACACAGTAGTTAGACTATCCACAGCGAAAGAACCGTTTTATTAATTACAATTTTACTACTGTTTTTAATAGTCTAGCTAACATCAAATTCCTGTGATCCCATACATTCAAAAATACCACTAGACATTTTAGTGAATATGTTTATAAAACGTCAGAGAAATATGGTGTTAACGAGTTTTAATGCTGAGTTAGCCATGTCTAATAGCTAGATTTTCACTTCTGACTGAGATATTGAGAACTACACACTGAATCTAATTTCTTCATTGTAAACATTAGTACACTGTTTAAATTCTGTGAAATTTACAGTAAATTATTAGCATGCCAAGATTCAGTAAACCAAAATACATTAGAAACACCAGATATTTTCATTCCAGAACTTGGTTTTACACCCCTTTATTAAATAGTATATTAAAAATCTGCTAATTTAAAATCAATCACTATTCACATAGTTTTACCATACAGTGAGATGACTTAAATATTCTCACTATATTAGTACCATAGAAGTTAACTCGTACTGAGTGAATAAATGATGGGATCGATTTTAAAAATCCCTCTTTTTTCCCCTTGTGTTCCCAATGAAACATATGGCTTCAAGCTAGAGGCTTGAAGTTTCATTAGCAGTGGTGTTTATTTTTACTGGATGGGGTTGCTAGCCTCATGCCCAAACTTCCCTCTTTACCAGTCTTATCACCGGCTTATCGAGGAGTGCGCCTGCCGGGGATCGAACCCCAAGCCACCTGAGTGGTTGGCGAGCATCCTACCGCTGTGCCACCGACAATAAAAATCTCCGTGATGCTCTTATATGCTTCTTCTGTCGGTTTTATAGTGGTTTAATTTGTCATATATATATATATATATATATATATATATATATATATATATATATATATATATATATATATATATATATATATATCCTTTGAAGCTTCAATATACTTTAGGCATCATAAGAAGATGCTTCTCAGGTGACCATAATTCAGGCATTACTTATTCAGGATGCCGATAGAAAAGTGTAGTTTTTGAAAAAAAAGCGGGAAGTCAGTCAAGAAGCCATATTAACTGAGAAACATCATAGTATTTTTTATCTTCAAAGTTGGCAGTATTTTGGATAACTTGCTAATTGTTTACAATTTCACCGAGAAATACAAATGATAAATAAAGTCAGTTACCTTTTGTTTATTTCTTACCTCCTTATTTTGTCCAGACAAATTTTGATATATTAGTGACAGTCATTACAAACATACTATATGTACCCAAAGATAATCTCTACCACACTTTCACAGGAGTGAAAGCAATGTTGAAAGCAAAATATGCTATGATTTATAGAGATAGTCAACTTGTAGAAAGTTTCATACCTATGACACTGTTTCAGTCAGTACTTGAATAGATAAATTAATATCCAATAGTTAATATTTTCATTGTTTGTACGGACTATATCTTTCGTTTATAACAGATATGGTAAGAAATAGGTGGGATGATAGACTAACTTTGCATCCCTTCTTAAACTGCCAGCTATTTTATTCCCTAACAAAATCGATTTCCAATTAAACTATTCACTATTACCAACCAAAGTATTAATACCTGTCATCCTTCAAGCTGCATAGAAGTGTCAGTGATAAGAATTGATGATAATTGGTACAGCTAATATGAGGATTAGGATAAATGGTTAGATGGGTGAACCACACAAACAGATAGTCACAAGGCATAATACCGTTTTTCGCATATATATATATAAGCTTGATTCCTATCTAATATAAATTATTTCGCATTCAGATTATCAAAAAGAGTATGTCAAAAGAAATTAATCATCTATTATTCATCCAGTCGTTGAATCATTCAGAATATATATATATAGTTTGTTTTATTTTTTATTCTACCTATTTCATAGCCCAATTATAAGAAGCGGTTGAGACAGAAAGAAAATTGGAGGGCAAGAGAATAGAAGCAGGGTGGTGGATGAATTGAGGAAACAAATATCACAAGTCTAGAATGAAAGGAAGGGGAAGAAGAGAGGTATAAAATAACAAGTTGGTAGAATGAAAAGAGAAATGCAAATAATAGAACAGTGAAATAAAGGCACCTGAAGACTACACTACGGATGATAATGACAATAAGTAATAATACCAGATGAATTTAGGACTTACATAAGTATGATAAAAGTTAGAGAAGAAATAAATAAAGATAAATACTGGCAAGCGTGTGTGTGTGTTGTCAAAATGTTGGTTAGAATGCTCATTTGTGTGTGTAGGTATATATGAATCTGAGTAGCTGTAACTACCAGTTTGCACCCTAAAGGATAGATATACAGTTGAGAACAACGAATACATAGACTTATTACCAAAGATATTTTTATTATTAATAATGTATTAACTTGATTATACATCAGTATAATAAGATTTCTAGTAATTTATTAACCGTCATGAACCATAAATAGATTTTATATCAGTATTCAAATTGAGTAGAAATAAACGCCTGAAATGCGATATTCATAGAACTAATTGTAAATGATTGTTATCGGTTAAGTAGATAATATTTCCAAGTGTAGTTTACACATCAGAATTACGTCAGGTTCCAAAGTCGAGTGCATATAAATTCGTTTAGCTTTAGATGTGAGGTATTGGAGAGAAACACATAAAGTGAACTCCCCTACGTTACATGATTCACTGATGAAGCTTTTAAGTGGAAAGCAAACTAAGCTTATGTCAACTATGGTGTGTAACAGAACCCCCATAAATATTCAAGGAAAGTTGGAAGACTTCAAAGGATTGGTCAGACTTCATTTAAGGGGGGAAAAATAATGTCTTAATTCTCATCCTGAGAAATTGAGTTTATTGACATATTTTCTTGATGACTACAACGACTACTATCTGAGAATATTAATCAAACATCAGTTTAAAGTAGTTTAAATGCCCTTATTATAACATGCATACTTAGGGGAAAAAATTATGATTGCAGTGGACCAGAGAGACTCATAGTTATCACTCTGTGATATCGAAAAAATTAAAAAGAAATTTTTGTGAATGAGCGGAAAGTCTCTTTTTCAATGCTTTTGTACTTCAGACAAATTCATCATTTAAATATAAACGTAGAAAGAATGGGTTACATCGTATTCATAATCAGGTGTAGGTCGATTTCAACTTCATTTATTGACGAATATGCATTAGCTCGTACAGTTTAATGCTATTCTTCAGAACTAGTAGCTTCCTGGTCAAGTAAAATTTCACTGCTTTCCAAGTTTAAGTCTTTATCTACACAGTTTTGGGCACTAATACAGATCTCATTCTGACTGTATTCCACGAAAAAATGAAACTAGTTTATACTTGGTGAGTCTAGTTTAGATGAAGAAGAATTTATTGCTTGATCTTGTCTATGCATAATCAATAGTTATATATATATATATATATATATATATATATATATATATATATATATATATATATATATAAGGCGACAAAGGTATGTAGAAGTCTTTGTGACCATTAACACTGGTAGGTATACTGCGAATTCAAAGAAAGTAAATAGTTGATAACAGTCTAAACTTTTCATTTTCCATTAGCTTTTAGTGCGTTATTGATCAAGTGAAGGTGAAAAGAACCTGTCCACTGCTTATGAGATTCAAAGTATGATGATTATGAAATCAAATTTCAGAAGAAATGAAAGTTATTGGAAGCTGTTTCAACAACTTCAAAGGTTATTAAATCCTAAGATTTTCAAAACAAATCTCTCACTTAATGGTTTGCAAAGTTATGAAATACGAATTTATTATACGAATGGAGTTACCATCTTTTATCATGAGAGAGAACAGGATATTCTGAGTTTTTCATATTACAATAGATGACAGAATTTCATCAGTATTAGTCTATATTTCACATGTATAACAATTTATATTGGTATAATACTAAATGGATACAAGTAGACTGTAATTGTTCTATAATCATCAGTTCGCAAACAAATTATTTTATGTGATATATTCATGCCAGTTTCTTATTCCCCTATTCATTTCCTTCTGCTGAATTATATTTGTTCCTAATAGATCATCTGTTATCACAGTATGTATTCAACTGATCAATTCCTAAAATGTGGTCGCTAAGTTAAGAGATTCGTATTGTGAGGGAACTTTATTTTCTGAGTTATTAATGGGTTGAAAGCAACATCAATGACTAGTATTGAAATGAAAACATATATACAACAGCTTAACCTGCTGACGGGGTGGATGGCTCGTCAACCATGCATATGATCCGAGGTTCCATTACCGGCCGAAACACTACTAAACCTCACTAAGCCGATAAGGAACGAAGGCATGGGGTGAGGCTAGCAGTAACACTGTAAAAATAAAACCACTGCTACAGAAACATCAAAACTCTAGCTTGAAGCCCTATGTTCCATTAGGAACGTAAAGGAATAGAATAAAAATGATAGAAATACCCTGCTAACACTAAGAAAACAGCATTTTATTCTGTATGAAGAAAATTGAGCTCACTCTCGGATCATTTAAAGAAATATTCATTGAAAGCATAAATTGTTTTACCTTCAAGTTTCTGTAAACACTGTACAATATGCCACTTCTCAGCTCAGATTGAAATTTTCATGATAATCTTTTTTCACTGAGTAAATTAACTTTCAGATGTGAAAAAGTTATTAAGCTGGAAGACGAAAACTATCTACCACTTTCGAGATAATATTGGACAATTGCGAACTAGAGTATAAACTTTCATGAAGGGTAGCTACTTTGCCAATTACATGAGAAGCTAGTAAGATTTTAGTATGTTAAATATGACCAATTGTTAATGGCTGTTTAGGGTTAGACAATAGTTAGGAGCTGTAAAAAAGCTCAGCAACATGTAGTGCAGTTCGATGGTTGGGAATTTTTAATGCGCAGTACCTAGATTGCCACTTAAAACTACGTCTCATGAAACTATTGTTCAACTTCCATTTAGACAGCCTTCATTGATTAGTAATACGCTTTGTAAACCTCTGATTGCTTGCTCACCACAGTGACTAAACAGCTACTTTATTTCTAAACATTATTGTGAAATAACAATAGACTGTTTGCTACTTTAAATGCCTATATAAATGAATATTTATTCGCAAGAATATAACCTTGACAATGTGCATAAGAAACTAAATTATTTTATGTAGTCAGACATGCTTACCTTCTCAATTTCCAGTAAATGAAATCGAAGCACATGAATGGCTTGAATAATCTAAATCAAATTAAAAATAAATATTGGATAAAATGCAGTAGAATGGTGAAAGATTCTACATCACTCTATAAATAATATAGCACAAACAATTTTTTACATTCGTCAAATACATAACTGCTCAAGCGTATAACTTGACATAACTGAAAGTATAGTGCAATGGTGAGTTATTTTATTTCTCATTCAATGAACAGTGAACTCAGCCTAATTATTTTTTTGTCTGTGTAACGTAATTCAAAGTTTAATGATATTGTTTTGAATCATGAACACTCACACGATCAAAATGAAATATACAAAATCGTTATTTTACTTATATGATAGTAATAATAATAATAGCTTCTAAACAGTATTTTTTGGTACAAATATGGAATTTTCAGCACGTAGTGCAGTATTAAGCCTAACTTTTTCATTACAGGGGTAGTAATTTATACAGGACATTTATTATATTATTATTGTTCCCTTGGGTTCCTAGTGGAAAATAGGGCTTCGACGGCACGTCTCCACTTGCTCCTGTCATCTGATGTACTTTTCACCTGCATCCATGTTAGTCCATACTCTTTCAACTCCTCTTCACACGATCTCCTCCATGTCATCCTTGGACGTCCCACTCGCTGCTCGCATTTACATCGATAATATTACTCACTAATAATATGAATGTGAAATTAAGTGAAAATATTAACAACAATGTAACAATGAAAAAATGGGGCCGTTTACTTGGTAAGTTGGTAATTTCCTGCCCCACACTTTTCTCATCATCTAAAATGTGTGTTCAGTGTGGTATTGTAGAGTCTTTGTACTTAGTCGTCCGAGCATACAGTCTTCTATGGTTGCTGCTAGTTCTACCTGATGAGATGCAAGGAGAGAGTTGTGTATGGGGAAGATGTTCTGAGTCTGAAAGGATAATATTTGCTAATTTTTTGCAGGAAGCCAAGTGTATATCAACGGTAGCCTTAACGAGCTGGTTTAGCAACAACCCACCAGCCCTACTTACAGCTTTTAGTGCCCTACGCAGTATAACAAAGTCTTTCTTAAGTAACCCGAGAAAGATTAAGGGGGACAGTAAAGAAGTATGGGCAGAATACAAGAATTAACAAACTGTAACGGTAGAGACGGAATAACACCAGATCATCTTAGCTTCTTTATATAGAATGTCGAACGAAATATCTTTCTGGAAACTAACATGCGGGAAAACCAAGAAAGATAAGAAGAAATACGTCGTCTCATGTATATATGGTATCTATGATGGTGGAACCGTGCAAACTAAACACTCTATGTAAGTTACTCTTGTATTTGGAAGTGAAATTAACCACCTGTCATTTGAAGGGGTTAAGCTTAAGACCATTTGACGAGAAACATTGACTAATTTATGATAAAAAGTTATTCATTTCTGAAAAGTCTGGCTGAGAAGTAACAGGCATAGAAACATTCAGGTCACCTGCATGCTTAACAAAATTGGCTTTGTAAGAATGGGACAGATCATGTAATGAGGAAGAAAACGGAAAAGCAGAAAGAACAGCCCCTTGAGGAACACCAGCTAGAGTAGGTGAAACAGTGGAGGACTTCCCATTGTATACAGTGTATTGCTTCCTGTCAGCAAAATAGGAATGCAACCACTTTTTACTCCAGCACTGTGCTTGTGACGCACCAAGCTTTTTTTAACAAAAGAGGCCTAGGTATGGAGTTAGAAGCAGACGTGTAGTCGAGGAAGGCACTCGAAACATATTTGGCACTTCTGTCTAAACTAGAGACAAAATTATGATTTAAGACAACAGTAGCATTTAAGTACACCTACTATGCTTATAAGCAAATTGATTTGGATCATTAAAAGCCTTCAATGAAGACTCAAGGTTAAGTAAAAGCAGTATTTCCATTATTTTAAAAAAAGGTGAAGTAATGGCAATAGATCTAAACTTAACACTTGGTACACTCGATGATAATGATAACCCTTTTCAAGGATATAAAATATAGTAATAAGTTGATTGGCCTTTTCCATCGCTTATTCTCAATGAATTGAAACATAGCTTCAATAAGTTATGGAACTGTCACAGTTTTCCACAAACAACAAGTGACTTACAAAGTTTATTTTTCATTTTCCATAAATTATCTTATGGATTTTTAGTTTTAGAAATTTCGAGATACTCTCCTGAGATGTGTTAAATAATTAAGGAAGGGGGTAGGATTTATGTCATCAATACAAGATGGTGGGAGGTGGCTTGATTCGGGTTTCACTCTTATTGGCACTCATCAACAGGAGTTATCAACAATTTCAAAGGAATTTATGTCCCCACCTCACCTACTCCTGTAGTTAGAGATGTAATTATTATTGTCCCCTCGGATTCCAAGTGGAATATAGAGCTTCAACAACTTATCTCAAATTCGTCCTATTCGCTGCGGTCCTGTTTAGCCAGCCCCACCATAGTCCATATTCTCTGGTATCCTCCATGTCACCTTAGGGCGCCCTACTCGTCGTTTCCCATTCGAGTCTCGTTCAAGAGCTTGGAGCACGATATTTTCCGATGGCCTTCTCAGTATGCGTCCGATCTATTTCCATTTTCTCCTACATATTTGTTGAGGCATTGACTCTTGTTCGGTTCATTCCCAGTCCGAGTTTCCTGTTGCTAATTGTTTCTGGTCGGCTGGCCGGCCATTCGATCTTCAATATGGAGTCGGTGAAGTGGACAGCTGTTGATAAGAGTCTGTGGTAACTTGTCGTCAATGCTCTTCGTGACGCGCTCGCTGTGCAATTTTCTGACCCGTATAGAAGAAGTGACTGACTGACTTCACCTTTGTGTTGGTAATCCGAATCTTGTTGTTTATGCTGGCTGAGCGCGGTGTAGATTTCCAAACTGGTTGCAGATTGATAAAGACGTATCTTGCTTTCCGGTTCTGGTCAGCCTTGGCATCTCTAACCGTTCCGACTACCTGTGGTTGAAACCATGCTTCCTAGATAAGTGAAGGAAGTAATCACTGTCAAATCTCTCCCGCTGATAGCAACTGGTACCTTTTGTCGGTTGGTGACTTCCGTCACCTCCATCTCCTCTATGTTTCCTTGAAGTCCTGCCTTTGCAACCTTTCATGTCAATTTGCTGGTTTTCGTCTGTAAGCCTGTAAGGGTCGCTAGCCCCACGCCCAACCCTCCTTTTTCAGGGCCTGTACCGGCTAGAAAACTACCAAGCTAGTAAACCGAGCTAGCCAGAGATATTACAAGTGATGTATACAAACTCCTATCAGCATCCTCTTAAAATTCATTATGCGCATGTATTATGGCCAAATTTGAACCGCAAAATATACTTATCTAGGTCAAAATTCTGTATACCACCTGTTTTTTATGTTTATCAAGTAACTGCATCATATATAAAAGTTCTTGCTTAAGTGGCTTAATAATGGCGATTCATAATGATGTGCACTACATAAAACGATATATACATATATATATATATATATATATATATAGAGAGAGAGAGAGAGAGAGAGAGAGAGAGAGAGAAGGAGAACGAACTGACTACATAGTTTCGGTTATACGAAAGATTGATGTAACAAGTAATTTTTAAGTAGACCAGTATTATGTGGCTATGTTATCATCTTATTTGAGTGATTGTTGATACCTAAAACGAAACTGTGTTAGTACAATGCGAAAATGAGTACCTAAATGAAAAGTGAATATTTCTTTGGGCAGTTCTTTTGTCTTCTAAATATCAAATTGAGAAAACATTTTCTAAGTAGCAGTAGTAGTAGTCATCAGTTGTATAGTTATGCTGCAACAGCCATTCCACATAACTCAAACAAGCTTATCTAACTTAACTTCATTTCTGAATGACAACAGGAACAATAAACATGATAATCATTAAAAGAAAATATTCCCGCTAAAACAAATAAACATGTAAACAAACACAAAGAAAACAGCTGAAAAATAACAAAAGAATCTCTGAAATGGGAAAAATTGAACAAAAATAAAAGAAAAATAATAATGACAAACCAAAAAAATAATAAAAAACAAAAAAAACACTTACTAATAAGTTCAATTCTTGTTCCGATGTAAACATTGGTCGATTTGAAGAAGCCATCTGTTCATCAATTGACGAGTGAATATAATAATCATGAGCCGAGAAGAGGGTGGAATGGAGGCGACGGTAAAAAAAAAGAAGAATAGCACGAGAAATTGTTAAAAACGAAATGATCGAATTCAGATGCAAAGTGTAACAAGAAATGGAACAAACAGCAGTAAATAAAAAACCTTCCGAAAAAGGCAATATTGATAAGCTTATTCTCTCACTAATTTTTCTTTCTTAAAACACGTGAATAGGTTTTGTGCAGTATGTTTCTTTTACTACTCGAGAGATATAAATTATGATCGTTGAAGGCAGGAATTTTATTTTCAAGTCGTACATCATATTGGTTGATTTTAAGATTAGCTTTGAGATTTTTTTCATATGTCATAGTCAGAAATTAACTAGTTTAACGAAAGCTAGTGTCAGATAGTTAAGGAGTCAATGACAGTTAAGGAAAAGTATACAGAATTTCAAAGTGTTAGGAACTCATTGGTAGTAAACAACTTTGCCAACTGGGAATCTGAACCATGAAAATTCTGGGTGTTTTTTTTCTGATCTACTCTTTCCAGAATTTCCTGGATAACGAAAAAGGGTAGTACTTATCATTTCAGGGAAAATGAAGTAGTTGTTATTATCTCATTTCTTGTTTCGTCTTAATTAGCCAAAGATCTCACCTTCCAGTTAACTTTTTTCTTAAAATATTGGGATTTTAATATTATTTGTAATAAATATCACACTTAATTGCACTTTGTCTTTCAGCTCGGCAAATATCAGATATCGTACAGGTTTAATTTTCTCGGTAATTCTAAGAATTAAAATGAACGGTAAGCCTGTCAGTTAAATATAGACTTCTCAAGTGTTGGTTTGTAGGGATTTGATCGGTTTCAGGATTTCATCATGAGCTGACATTTGTTAGAGAACCATTGGAAAACCTGGGAGTACTGGACAGCTGTTTCGTCCTAGTTTGGGACTCTTCATCAGTACGCACCCACCGGGATTCGAACCCAACACATGAATACCAATGAGATGCTCACTGGCGACTGGCCCTATTCAGGTAGGTAGTTACCTGGGTTCCAATGGGAAGTCGTGACCAGTAGGGTGCAGCTGGTCGGGTGTGAGGACAAATACTCGCCGAAGACATTGGCTAGCGGTCGCGCTATGTCGTGAATTGGCAGAAGTTAGAATTCACGAGCCATTGAATCGGGTCCCAGTGGCTTAATGGTATACGAGCTCGCCTTGTAACCGGAAGGTCCTGGGTTCGAATCCCGGTGGGTGCGTACTGATGAAGAGTCCCAAACTAGGACGAAACAGCTGTCCAGTACTCCCAGGTTTTCCAATGGTTCTCTAGCTAATGTCAGCTCATGATGAAATCCTGAAATATAGACTTCATTTATGCCTTCATTTTCAAGAAAGATGATTGTTTTTCATAGCATATACTTTCAATATTAGCGCATTAAATGTGATTGACTGTATCATAATTTTTTGCAAGCTTGTAACCAATGTGCAAATGGGGACAACTCTGAGGTATACATGGAGATTGCAGCCATAAGGTTCTATGGTGATGAATATCTTATTAGACAAAATTAAGCGAAATAAAATGTTCTGGCCTTCATACTAGCTCTTTTTAAGATGCATGACTCAATAAAATTGTAATCATCAGATCCTCGTAATTCAGTGTTGGCGGTTCAGCAGTAGAATGCTCGCCATTCACACTTGTAGTTTGGGGCTCAGTCCTCGGCCGACACACTCCTAAACCTTGCTTAGGTGGTAGTAAGACCTAGAAAGAGGGAAGTTTAGGAGTGAGGCTAGCAACCTCAAGCTGTAAAATAGAATAACACCACTGCTACCGAAACTTTATAGCTTGAAGCCCTACATTTCATTGGGACAGAAAAGGAATAAAATAAATAGTAACAATAATTCACTGTTGAACTCAAAGACTATAACTATCCTATGATGTAGCTACAAACTACCTCTACAGTTAAAACTATTCTAGCTATCTTTGACTGAATATGATACTAATTCTACGATAAACCACTGTATACTCTAACATGAAGTTGGATTTTTGGAAAAGTAAATCAGGCAAACTTGCACTTGTATTTCCCAAAATCGCCTATGACTTTTTAGAAAAACTCGTTGACAGTTTTACAGATTTGAAACTTCGCATTTTTCTAACATAGATTTTGTTATTTGTTTCTCGTAAAAAAATAAAAGGGAAGAACGGATAATGGAAATGATGGAAAACGATTTGTGTAGAACTGTGTCATAATGATCTGATACTTTAGAAGGCGAAACAATAAAAATCAGATAAAAGGATAGAAGAAAAAAGTGGGAAAACTGAGAATCTGTAGGTTGGTGTATCACTGTGTTTATCCACTAAAACTGTGAATATATGTCTCCTAAAAGTATCCCTTCCAAACTAAACTAAACTCATGTAAAAACAAAAACAAAAAGGAGGGTAAAGTAACAGGAATGTGGGAAGTATTTGATGAATATACTTGAGATGAGGAGAGATTAGGAAAAGTTTGAAAAGATCTTAGAGATAAGAATTAAAGAACATAGGAGAAAATAAGCATATACGCTGGTTTGTGTACTCTTTGTTTACATGCATCGTTGTTTGTATGTTAACAAACCCTAAAGAAGTAAACAATGAGGTCTTATGATATCTCAAGCCAGAAAGAAGATGTAACCGGTAATTTAAACCTGAATGAGAAGGAGCAGCAGAATGTCTGAGAAAAGAATGAAGCGGGTTCAAAAATAATGAAACCCATCAAATACATACATTAATAGAGAGAGATTTTTCCTCTTGAAATTCTAAATTTATTAGATAGTGTCACCGATACAGTCAGATTATGTTTTCCGTAACCCTTTTCCTCTTACTCTGCTTTATTCATCCCTACTTGAGAATAACAGAAAATGTGAGGGAAAAAAGTAAAAGATAGTCAAAAATGCCTCTGGGGAAATTTTCATTACTTCAATATTCATTGGCTGATGTTTCTCTCCTCATCCCTTTCTTTATAAGGACGCACTCATTGAATACTTTTGCTGCTTTTTTTAAACGGAGAGTGATTTTTTGTAATTCATATTTTTTACAAAAGAAAGATTTTCGTATTTTTCCTTTTTTTAGTGAAATAACCGCGAATGAAGTAAAAACATAATAAAAACAATAAAGGAAACTATGTGTAATTTATTACCAAATCACGAGACTAGAATCTACTTGAAATTTTTCCTAAGAAAAAGTGAAACTGCTGCAAAAGAGTAAATAACGCCAGCTCTTCTAACACAACGAATCAGTCTAGTATGATATTGGATAGCCTTCAGACAAGCTACTGATTCATAAGAGTACTTCGTAGCACTCTTACTTCCGTGTTAAGCTTCTAGGAATCTGGAAGCCAAAGCATTTGAGTTTCTCGTTTAATTCCGAACCTGTCAATGATAAACAGGTTGAATGAGATTTCAAATGACTTGTAAACACACTGATTTAGGGTGAATATCAATGTGAATAATTCCCTGTGTAGACTGTTTGTATGTTGTCCATCGTATGTCTGCTGTACTGTTACTCTAATCGACAAATTAAGTTTAGAACAGTAAAGTGATTTCATTTTACGAATTCCACGTTCAGTGCTGACAAAATGATTATATTTGGGTGAAAAGGAAATGCATTGTTCATTCAGACCTCTCTGATGGTATGGCAAGCATGAGTTTGACTCATTTTTTGGAGAACTGATCTGTAAAGAATTTTTGATTGAGTCTTCTTTTTTTCAGTCTCACATATATCAGCAACGCAAAAAACCCCATTCAGCTGTGATGCATATCTAAATAGATTAAACAAAATATAACCCATCTGCAATCCATTTATCCAGCCAAAATCTTTAAACTGTTATCATCATACACCACCAAAATAGTCTTCATCACGGATGGAGATAATCTAACTAGTAAAATTCTGAACAGTTATTGTTTTACAAGGCTGACCAGTAGTAGCATTTATAAGTATATCGTGAAAATATTGTTTATATTTTACTAACTTCAGGAAGTGTGACAGAGAAACACGAGAATTCGTTCATTTCGTTTAATGTTATGGGGTCCTTTGTGTGAGTCACTGGCACAAAGGTTAGGACGCTTGCTGACCGTGGACATGGTCCGGGGTTCGAACCCCTGCTAACGCACTCCTTTACCTCACTAAGCCAGAAATAATGGTGGTAAAGAGGAAAGGTTGGGCATGGGGCTAGTAACCCCATCCTGTAAAGTTAAACGCTGATAGAGAAACTTCAAGCCACTAGCTTGCGGCCCTATGTTCCGCTGGGAACGTGAAGGAAAAAACAAAAAATCGGGTCCTTGGGCTTCTTTAGTGAAGGGAGAATTCCCTTCTGTTTTTTTGTTTTACTCACTATGGGAATTTGGCATTCACTATATTACATTCACGTTGCTAAATCGAAGAGGAGCCTTAAACTTCTGTTATGAAATAACTAACGTTCATTTTCAATGTTAGGTCAATGTATTGAGCTTTCGAAAACCTCCTTAGAAGTTCTCATTCTTCTTTATGAAAACTTGATTTGAAAGACGAACAACCAAAATTACAATCAGCAGTCAATGACTGAGTTTTGTTTGAGATTCCTATATCCTCTGAATGTACTGTTAACTGACAGAAGTTACTGACAATTTACTAAGGAATTATGAGCAAGATCTAACACATTCTACTATTATTTGACCTGTACTAATTATTCAACTGGTAACCACATGTATGATTTTATTCTATGAATATATTTCAGCCTAATAAATTCCTCCTGCTAAAAATGATTTAAATCGTAAACTTTTGGTTATGATATATACTACATGGTTTTATTTAAAATGAGGGGAACAATCACTTATCTGTGGAAGTAACAATGATATGTCTACTTCTTTCGTGTCTAGCTTTATCCCAAGCGGATGTGAAATACAGATGTTTGCTGGAGCTACAAACATAATTGTTGAAAAGTTTCAGGAAAACGTGTGTAGCCAATAAGTTAAGGATTTCTAACCATGATACGTCTTAACATTGAGTTATCTTTTCAATCTCCTTCTGAAATAGTGAAAATTCAAGCTTCTAAAACACTAGAATGAATTCAGAGCTTTTAGTGAAGCGATGGTAGTTTTGAAAGTGATGACTGGATACATTCTAGAGAAACAACTGATTTTGAAAAGAGGAAGATTGAGCGAAGAAATATTTACTTTTCAATTAGATCCTCATCTCTGGCTCTACTCTAATATACACGTATAGCATTTTAATTACAATATACAACAGTTTACCAATCAAGTGGTGATATGTTTGTTAACAATAATTAGTCAGTGTCAAAATGTCAATGGGGTGGTAATTAACGAAGAAAAATTAATATGTATAATTAAAAGGTGGAAATGGTTACAACACGTGGATTGCATAATGCATAACTGATTTCAACAAACAAAAGTGAGGTCTGTTATCTGACGATGATCTTCAAGTGGTTGTATGATACTTTCAAAGAGTTTACACTGAGTGCCAAAAGGTGATGCTTGAAACTAGTACTTTTGTTCTTTACACTTGACTGACTGTAATGGGAAGAGACTGACAGACAGGAAAAGTGCCATGGAAGAAAAAACCATACTATTGCTAAAGACTTGCAAATAGCAGTTACATGGTTGAAGAAGTGATGTATGGGTTTACCTTTAGAATTGTTGGAGATTTATAGCTCAGATGATATTGTGAGAATGAAAGCTTGGCCACTAAACCATCCAGCCCAGAAAACACATTTACACTAACAGGTTCACCATATCATGGTTTGTGAAGTCAAAGTATGGTAAACATATGTAATCATACACCTAATATTTTAACATTTCAGTCTCACAGGGAATCCTCTTTAAACTGAAGGTTTGCTTTACGTCTTGTTTATCTCATCAGAATGCAGGTGGTTAATCCCCATTTGAGTATAATTAGCAGAAGTGATATCTTAACACTCACATTAATCGTTAAAATACATCTTTCTGTTGAAAATGACCAAGTGATCTGTTTAGTCTAAGAGACAATCTTTATTTATTAAACAGTAGTTTGGAAATTCCTTCTTCAAAATTTCAAGTTTATTTCTAAATAAAAATTTCCTCAAGCAAAATGTTTTTTCCTTCAATAAGACGAGGCGTCTTCACGAGTGAAATAATCATAATCCCTATGATATTTTATTATGGTTAACACGATTTCACCTGAGATCAACTTTCATAATTATTCATTAACCATTCATGTGGCGAAAAAAATTACAGCAAATAAAATGCATAAAGTAAAACCATGTATTATTGCTTCATAAACTTCATAAACTGCTTTATACTACAAAAATACAAAATACAGTTTGACAGTTTCAGTCTTTATGGTAGTGAAACGCAGTAGTATGAATACGGTGAAGCTTAGAGGTCTTCGACTCAAACCATCCAATTAGCTATGACAGAATTCGACTAATCAAGTATAGGCGGAAATAACTGTTTGTGTGCTATAAAAATAATGACAAATTTCGGTGACCAAAGCCATCATTAAAAACTTTCAGATGTCTCTAATTATTTCCCTATCGAAACAGTCTTCAGAAGAAGATAAGTAAATATATCCTGTTTATTAAATATCAGGTCTGCTTAACTAAACGTCCTAGGTTTTTCTACGTTATCGATGCAAACAAAGTATTTGAGAAACCGACTGACTACCATAGAGCCATCATTGACATCACATCTTTCCTTTTCAGTACTTAAATTTATCCACTGCCTACTTTAGAAGGTTATAGAAAAATAAGCTCAGGAAGTGAGAGATTAACACAAAATGTCTTCAGATGCCTGTATATATACAGTAAAGAAAAGTAAGACAAAGAGAGGTATGAAAGAAGTAGATTAATGGTATCTTAGATATCTAAATTCATCATATTCAAAGAAGTCTACTTTGTTATTATGCTTAACGAAAGCATCATAGTTTTCTCGTGTCTTTCATTGTTAATGCCACATGTGTGCACATACATCCATTTTTTATTGTGTAGATCACTTCCCACACTGCTTATGCATTTCTTCTGTAATGTAAACGAAACTGTGTAAAATTCTGTCCTGAAGAAACATAAACAAGCTAGAAGTAAATAGTTAATGGAGGATAATATTTCCTTGAAATAAAAGCGCTCATATTCAGCCAGTTAAGCAATCAGTCATTATCGAGTAAGCTGAAAGAAGAATTAGGATCGTATTACCAGATAAATCAATAACTCGTAAAGAATTTAGCCAGGAAGATGATGACAGGAAAAAAAAGAGATATTGGATATAAAAATAGAGAATAATAAGTGACGACTAGTATTAACTACGAGGTCTTTCTTTTGTTCTGCTCCTTTTCCATCTTACAAGGATGAAGTAAGAGTGAAAATTTTAGTGGTGATAACATTAATAATACTGATAACGCGGAGAAAATAAACAAACTTTTACTAATCTAAACTTTTAATTCAAATGGATAGTTGACCTTATTATTTCATGTGCGCTTTTTCCCATTTTTATTCTCTGGAGGATTTTACAACTTTCCACTCATTCTCAGAAAAGATGTCAATGATGTTGAAGAAGTTGATGATACCAATACATGAAACTAATTTAAGTGCATTAGAGCGAATCTGCTAATTTTGTTGTTTTTGTCAATAATAATGAATATAAGCACTATTGAATTATTTGTTTATATTGTGATATATATTCCATTATAACTATTAGATTACCAGTAGTATGCCTGCAATTAAAGTTAAATGAAGTTTTAGTAACTCTGTATAATTTTCTTTTAACCGAAAATCTACAGTAAATGTATGGCACTTACATAATCGGTGATACATCTAATTGAAACTGTAGTTCTAATAAGCATAGAAAGCATTCATACACTGAATGACTATTATATGTTGTGTGTCATGTCACAAGTCCACATAGGCGTTTTTTCACTGTCATTTAACGCTTCATATTACGTTAAGCAATAGGAGTTAAGCGTGACAGCTACCCATTCAGAATATCCAACAGAGTTGCGTCAAGCGCACCAAAATAGGTAATATGAAATAGCGGATCGTGAACTATTCTCCGATAATTTATTTGAAATGCTCTACATAAAAATCACCCTGTCACTATCAGTCATTTCAGTTTTCAACTTAGCCTTTGGTATGTAATGATGTTTCATGATAGAAAATAAGACAAATAAAATAATCAGTGAGTAAGTATATATAACGCTATTTTATTAGGGGAGCATGTTATTGAGAAAGAAATGCATCGTGAATACCTCATGATAAATTTTGGCTCAGGATTGTCTTCGGTAAAATGACTTTCGTTATCTGTATGTTGTTTCATTTTCCTTTTCAGTTAAGATAGAATAGTACCATTTTCTGCACTCAGAATAAAGAAGATTCGGATTGCCAACACAAAGGTGAAGTCAGTCAGTCACTTCTTCTATACGGGTCAGAAAATTGCACAGCGAGCGCGTCACGAAGAGCATTGACGACAAGTTACCACAGACTCTTATCAACAGCTGTCCACTTCACCGACTCCATATTGAAGATCGAATGGCCGGCCAGCCGACCAGAAACAATTAGCAACAGGAAACTCGGACTGGGAATGAACCGAACAAGAGTCAATGCCTCAACAAATATGTAGGAGGGAATGGAGATGGGCTGAGCATACACTGAAGAGACCGTCGAATGACATCGCGCTCAATGCAGTCCATTACTCGAGTGGAATCCGAATGGGAAGTGATGAGTGAGCCGTTGGTGCAAGGGTGACATGGAGTAGATCATGTGGCGAGGAGGAGATGACAGATTATGGTGAATCGTGAGGTCAGCCATCTGAACAGGCCAGCATCAAATATGACAAATTTGAGATGTTTTGTTGAAGCCCTATGTTCCATTCGAAATCCGAGGGGGCAATCATAATAATGTCATTTCCGACTGATGATTCTTCAAGTAGTATATTACTTATGAAGAAAATTAAGGAATGACAGCTAATAAAACTACATTTTTATTTCCTTCATTATTTAATTGAACAGCTGATTTCAGACAGTGCAATAGAAACAGAGGTAGGTTTTAACTGTTGCTCGTGACTAAATAAGAGGCCATTTAAACACAGTCGGACAATCACATCAAATCTACATGATAAATGCTAGTGATGTCAAGATTTATTGATCAATTGGCCACTGACATTAAAAGAAGTCATGTCCAATACTTCAATCAAGTTATTTCGAATTGTTTTTTTAATTATATCTTGATTCCACACCGTATTCTTGGTACAAGTATGGAATTTTCAGGATGTAATATCGGTAGCCCAAATTTTGCAGGCCGACCAATTGATACCAGGTGTGCGTCGGTAGGGGATCGAACCCAGGACCATTTGCATGGTAGGCGAGAGTCCTAACTGATGTGCTACCGACGCACAGTTAACGACAAATCAGTACACATGAAAAATTTCAGGTGAATCAAAAGTTAAGGACAATTTACTATTGCCCAGTACAAACTCCATTGAGAAATAGGATGAGTCAGATCAGTGGTAAACCACTGATCTTTTTACAGAAATTTAGTTTTAAGAGTAGATTTGATACTTGCAGTATTAGAAATTACTTTTTATGATAAATATATGATTCCTCCACTTGTCTAACACATTCAAGTTCAACAACTGATTTCCGCCATAATGATGTAGTCTTTTCTTTTCAGACAGGTATTTAGTTTTACTCTTATCAGCATTTGAAATATTTCAAGTTACAAAAATAGTATGAGTGATTTAATTGACTATAGTAAGTCATTTTGTCTATTCATCTTAAATATAATTTCATTAAACATGATTTTATTGTTAAAATCATTTGCAAAATAATAAATTATTCTGCCAAGCAAGTTCATTCACTTTTATTGATTATCAGTTGATTAACTTACTTCTTTTGTGAATACACTTATATCTTCTTGAAATGAATCAGAGGAACAGACATCACCGGAACTGTTGGAATTCTCATCTCTTGGGGTACATGTTGCAAGTTCACACTTTTCAAAAATTAACGCAAGTAGCGGGAATAACGGATGACTGTAAAAACAAAGAAGGAAACAAATTTAGTCTGGATTACACAGCTGGGACTTGCCATGAATAGCATGCAGGTTTGTAGTCAGCAGGTAATCAGATGTGATTGAAAACAGAGTACACTTTTACTAACCAATGTGAAAAGTATGGTGTATGAAAACCACTGGTACTGAGACACTTTCCTCTTATAGTTATTCGATAACAAGTTGTACACGTCTTCAAAACCTGGTCAAATGAAGATAGTAAGACTATGCTTTATCAGAATACATGAATTAGAAAACAAATAAGAGTGGGACCTGATAGTTAGTATTTTCATATTTTATTAAGTTTACAGCGTAATGCGACCAGTGTTCAGTACGGAGATTGTGAAGGCATCGCCCCAACAAGTTATTATAATGACCAAAGTTAAAGCCTCCCAAGAGGATTTCAAAAACTTGTAGGTAGAGTTAATAGTTAAACTTCTGCGTCACCTTAGAAGGTTATTGCCATGATCATATGCTACTTAATGACATGGGTGAACCGCCCATGCTCTGCATCATAACTTACGAAAGACTCCTAGCTTTTACTGATTCTTGTTTGAAACTGTTTTAATTCTAATGTATTCTCAAAATGTCAATAATTTACACTACATGTCTTTATAATGGTAGGAATAACTGTATAAGCAAAGTTTCACAAACTATTTCAATTCTGAAGAATAATTGCTCATAATAACCTTCGTCACTAAATTACATGAAGTTAAAATAATACTAGAGTAACAGACACACAACTAACCTTTTAATCTTTTCAATATTCTGTTTTATATCAATCGCACTGTCATCCACATTATTATTACTGATGTTGTTTCCACTGGGGCAACCACTACTACTGCCACCACCAGAGAGTGTACGTGAATTAAAAATTCTGGAACATTGTGACAGTGAATTTGATACAGGTGTTACACTGTTTGTCGCTGTTGTTTCCGTGGTCGAAACTATCGTTGACGTCATTATCATTGGATTGTTTAATGAGTTTCTGAAGGCGAAATACTGTTGACTATCATAGTGATTTTGTGGTAGTTGTAAAGACTGTGAAGTGTTGCTATTTCTGTTTATATTGGAAAATGCTGTTGTTGAGTTTGAGTTGAATGAAAATTTGTGCACACTGAGTGGCGAGTCTGACTCTGAGGATGATGGTAACAGTAGATTCGGTAATAGTTGACCAGCCGTTGGGGGACTAAACAAACCCAATAATGTTTCTGCTCCACAGACCTCACTATTCATGATTTTCAGTTGGGTAAGAGCGAGTGTGTTTGTGTATATGTGTATTTATCGTGTGTGACAAACAGCAGAAGGTGACTTTCTATTTTTCTAATAAAAGAAAAAGATTTGAAAATTTGTATGGCAAACTGCACAAATCAAATCTATTCGATAAATTCAGTGATTAAAAATTATCCATACAGTTTTTATCTCAGGGTGGTAACAAGTAGTTAAATAACTCTCATTTCGTATTTTTGGATCGTGTTTATTTTAGTATTGTAATGACTGTTTGTATTTCAAGTTAGGGATGTTTTAATACTCTTGTCACTTTCTGCGGGAGGGCGCTGAATTTGTTGCCTGAATTCATGTTGGAAGCTCTACAGCTGTAAACTGAAGTTCGAACCACATGATAACCACTAGAACTCATTTATTTTTCAAATTCATCAATTTGCCTATGTAACCAAACTAAGTTTCAATTCTTAATTAATAGAAAACATTTTCCGATAAAGAAAATTGTTCATGTTTGACCATAACACAGATAGAATGACTCGCATTCAAAATATGTATCCAAATAAGTTCAAAACAATTATTTATTCTAATCTTGTGCTTTAAATTTTAATTTTACCTCAGAAATAGCAACAAGGTAGTAACGACAAAATTCGCAGTGCACACAGCAACCAAAACAGGCTACTCTTCTCCTCTAAATTCTATTTTCATTGAGTAAGGTTGGAGTTACCTGAAAGCTTCTTAACTTTTGCAAAATGAAACTGTGAATGGCTTTATGACTAAATACTTGAAAATCAAGTAAGTAATTCAGTGGACTATCGCTTTAATTGAGTTTATTTCTACATGATATCAATTAGATGCATAGAAAATGTATGAGGCTAAAGGTGGATGCTGTGAGTCACACAGTTTCTGTGTTAAATTAGAAATACATATGTAACATATATTTGTATAAAATTTTGGGAATCTTCTACACTGCGCTCAGCCAGCATAAACAACAAGATTCGGATTACCAACACAAAGGTGAAGTCAGTCAGTCACTTCTTCTATACGGGTCAGAAAATTGCACAGCGAGCGCGTCACGAAGAGCATTGACGACAAGTTACCACAGACTCTTATCAACAGCTGTCCACTTCACCGACTCCATATTGAAGATCGAATGGCCGGCCAGCCGACCAGAAACAATTAGCAACAGGAAACTCGGACTGGGAATGAACCGAACAAGAGTCAATGCCTCAACAAATATGTAGGAGGGAATGGAGATGGGCTGAGCATACACTGAAGAGACCGTCGAATGACATCGCGCTCAATGCAGTCCATTACTCGAGTGGAATCAAATAGGACGATCTTGAGATGTGTTGTTGAAGCTCTGCGTTCCACTGGGAACCCAAGGGAATATTAATAAAATAATAATAATGTTCATTATGAGATGTAAAACACTGGATGTGAATATTGTGAAGGTAATGGGGGATGATATTCATTGACATTTTGAACACAGATACTCTATATCGATTAGGTTAATACATCTGTTTGGTTAATTCTAAATCAGGAAAAATAAATGTAAAGAATTTCACTACTAACTACTGCGTAAAAGTCTAGATTTCATGAAGTACTGAGAAATACTTTGATTCAGCACTAGGCGACTGAGTGACTGACTGACTGACTGACTGACTGACTGACTGATTTCAACGTAGGTAGTAAGTGACTAGTGTCATGCGTCTAGTTCTTTGTTCGATGCAGACTGAATTCTATCAGTCAAGTTAGCAGTGTGGCCACCATGCTAGGTGGCACGCCATTACGGTGTACTTTGAATTGTTGGTATTAGACGGTTGGATGCAGTCGGCTGGAAGCCTTGGACCTAGGTTTCGTGCTTGTTGGTGCTCGTCAACAAGGCGAATCTGCAATCCTGAAGGAACTGATGTCAACTCTGAGGTTCGAATTCATGTCACCAGTGCCTCAGTTAGAGACCTTACCTACGTGAACTTATAATTGGCCTCTTGTAGGTCGAAATCTTAGATGGGAAATCGCTTTCTTCGTGGTTGCAGATACGCCCTGCTGACAAGTGCTAACATGTATGGAACCTGGGTTCACGGCTTCCTGTCTATTACCTCCAACCATTAATTAATTACGAGGAAAAATGTTTTGTTCTAAGTAAATTATCGTTAGTCATACTCATTGTTTACTCATCTAGTGCACAAATCAAGGGGAGTGAATAGAAAAGATAAGATAATCAAAAAGTTTCCTTAATTTACTTGCACTTTTACAGATGAGGATATAGTAGCATTTTACTACTTTTTAAAGCTGAAACACTTATTAAATTCGACAATATAGTCTTTAATGCTAAAACACCTAGTATGACTTTCAATTCAGTTAGTATTGTTAACTCGTAAAAAATAACCACCTTTAGTCATTTAACAACTTCAATGATCACTGAATTTTTATTATTAACTCTTTCTGCGTCGTAAACGTTGAGATGTGTAGACAGAATAAACTTCAAGACAGATCTAAATGTACATTAAGCGTATAAGAGACAGTTTGCTGATATGACTGGTTTTAAAAATTCTAACCATCAAATCTGTACCTCACACATAAAAAGTATTCTGTTACACATGTAGTTCGTTGGCCTCACCTTGACAAACGAAGACGTTTTACTTATAGAAAATTCGTCAAAACAATAAAGCTGATGTTTGGTGAAACTGTGTTGAGGTGATTCATCCAGCGAAATCAGACTGTAATTTAAATCACATTCATAAACTTAACACATTGGAAACCAAAGCCTCCCTTCATATTGTTAACACATATTTCTGAATACACAGTGGTGAATTTCCTAAAATATTATCCGTGAGTAATAAAAAAAACAACTATTGATTCAAAGTGAAAAATATATTTGATTCAATCCATATTTCAAAAGAACACTTTCAGTACTAAGTGAAACCTAATATTTCAATTTACTTCAAGTGTTAGTCTTCAAATTAATTATTTGGAGGCAGATAGTATCGGACAGATAGTAATTTTAGGCTATTAGTAAAAGCTCTAACACCTTCCGCAACCGTTATAATATTTTAATCATCCGTCTTTTAGATAAAAGTAGCACCGTAGTTTTTAGTAGATTATCAATGGACGGATACACAGTAGTGATATTATTTATTGATAATATTGTTGCAAAGAGAAACTACAACTCTTAATTTCAATCCTGTTCAATTCCGAAATAGAGGTGTAAAACTACCTCACTGAAAGTACATAGAAATGTCTAATATTGCATGATTTTGGTGATTCGTATATAATTCCATTTTGCTGATAAGAATCAAGTGAAAGTAATTCTTTTCTTGAAACTGGCTGCAATAAATGTTATAATATTTCATAAGCCAGTTGACAAGTCTCATATGTGATCTAATTTAATCTTATGCAAACTGATACAATTTTATTTCCACTATAGAAGATTTGATTTATTCTTTTATGCCCGAATGTGTAGATGCACTACGTTGTAATGACATGAGTGAACTGCGTTAGTGTTAGAAGGAAACAGTGTAGATTTATATTGATTCTTCAAGTTAAAAAAAGTAGGAAAGAATTCCCAAACTAAGCATTAATCATTTCTTTTAAAAACAGACAAACTATGCGTACGCATAAATACACATACACATACATACATACATGCATGCATGCAAACATACGCATAACATCACAGAGATGATTAGACAAGTGGAAATTTGTAAACAAACTGAAATCATGTTCTATTATATTCTCTTGTATAATCACAACTTTATCAGATTAATAAGTCGACTCATTCACACACATACCTTCACCTCATATATCAACTTTATGACATTCATCTTGATAGGATATTTGTAATGAGAGGAAGTAGGGTCAAAAGATCAACGGAAGATTTAGAAACTTTAGACATTTAGTTATATATACTGGCCTGAAAACAAGCAATGGAAATTCAGCCACCAACAACTAGATAGTGTGCATATATATATATATATATATATATATATATATATATATCTGCACGAGAAGCCGACATGTCAACCTGAGACCGAGCACTTCGGTCCAAACAATCGACGGGAAAATCAAAAATTCAATTCAATAATTGATATGACCCGTTGCACAAGAGGTGGCTCTCGTGGCCCAAGTGGTCTAGTAGATAACGCTTTGGCGTTTGAAACTATGGGTACTGGGTTCGAGCTTCGGTGGGAACGTCATCACTCACTGAGAATTGCAGGTATATCCAGATGACGAGTCCCAAATAGGACGAAATGCGCATCCTGGATTCCACTGCTAGCCACCATCCACCAATTGTATAATGACTATGATACTTTGAGACAGCTATTAGCATTAAATAGCGAAACGTCAGTAAAAACAATCTCCTTTTGTTTTTTCATTCATTGGGAAATACAAAAACCTCTATTATAATGAATGATTAATAAGTTATATAATTGGCCAAACACAGCTGAAGAATCATACTCAGGTGATTTTGGCTGTATATCTATCTAAATTGTATGCAACTAAGACTGACAGTGGTGGAAGCAGGTAGGAAGTGATTTCTCACTATTTCATCTACTCTGATTTGGAAAATAATCTGAAAGTGAGATTTACCGTTCGAATACAAGTTATACCTATTGTATAAGTGATGATGATATTGTTCAATTACCCTAACTTTAATAAGTGCTGTGAGTTTTAATCCGTGAGCCTCTGTGATTGATTAGTGAGAATAACACCTAACCATTTATGTTAAGTGCCATCATATTATCTTTAAAGTTGGGTACTCCTTCAGAAAATTTATTGAAGCATGCTTAATCTATAAGACAATTAAGCCTATTACTCCTATGCAAAAAACAACTATGATAACCATTTCTGAACGCTATTCTCCACTTATTGTTTCTAGATAACATAAAACTACCTAACTAAGTTTATCAATTTATCTATTTTCTTTCCTTACATAGAATTCCATAGATTCTGTTACCAGATAATATTTACAGTTGGCCTCTACTGGCATTTTTCATGACCTTCCAGAAACATCACTTAATTGCACAGCCTTGTGAGTTAATTACTTTGTAAAAGGCACAAATATAAGTTTTTATTTTCATTGATGACCTGTCTGAATC